CAATTCTCTGCTCAAAAATCACAACGAGGTTTCCCACCGTGTCAGAACTCCAAATGTCCCTCAGACATTTTTTGGAAGTTCCAAGCCCAGGTCAGAAGCATTTGAGACCCCGGCAGGCAGCTGGAAAATTCTGGATTTAATCCATGGAACGATTTACCGGCCTTGCAGGAAGAACAAGAAGTCACAAAATTTAGATATTAAGAGTAAAAATAGTCACAAAGTAAAGAATTTTTGAGTGCTGTACAGGGGGTTTTGGTTTTGTACATGGGGGTCAGAAGTTTTAAAATGGATTTGGGATTTGGGCCTGCCCTGTCTTCCCTCTTTCTCCTTCCTCACCTCCATGTTCTTGGTGATGTTGGCACTCACGGAATGGTTTAGAGTAGAAAATCACCATTTAATACAGGTAAAATTGGGGAAAAACTGGATATAATCTGGATTTTTGGGACACCAGACTCAGCCTTTACACTGGATTTCCTAGAGGAGCAGCTGGGTTTTCCCACTGGATTTTCAGAGCTCCCTTCTACAGGATCACTGCTCTGACAAGGTGGGAGCCCTAGATTGCCAGGCAATATTTAATTTATAAATAAAATATATTTATCTGTCACCATCTGCCAGAGGTGGGGCTGTTATCTTCTATTTTTTGGGGCAGTTTTCTCTATCTTTTTTTACAAACCAATGTTAATGCCCCATTGAATGTCACTGGTGACTGATAAAATTATCCCACAGTGAGATGGGAGGAGCCAAGCATTCCTACCTGGATAGAATCTGGATTTTTGGGGCACCAGCTCAGCCTTTTCCGCTGGATTTCCCAGAGGAGCAGCTGGGTTTTCCACTGGATCATCAGAGGAAGGCTCCACCCTTCTCCAGGCTCACTGCCCCGACAGAACCACACCTGCCCCTCCAATTTGGACTGACCAAAAGGGTTTCAGGTTGTATTCTCACTCTGCCAGTGATTTTTTTTTTTTTTTTTTAATTGGACAGAATTTTCTTGATGAAGCTGTCTGGGTT